GGGCAGACCCTTAATATAGAGCAATTAAGAATACTTAGTGAGGTCTGGCCTATATTTTAACATAGAGAAATCTACGTTTTTCATTAAAGGGACAAATAAAATCTCATTTAAAAGATAGGAAATTATTTTTGAAAAGGAGTTACTGTGAAAGAAAGAAATAGTACTAATAGGTCCAAGCAGACACATTCCCAGGGCAAAGTGTAGGCAAAACTATTCTTATTACCCAAGGTGGAATCAACCATGACACACGAGTTGGTGCTACTACACCTCTCTGTGGTTTCAAAAAGATCATTACTGGGAGAATGTATTGAAGAAAGAGCTCCAGAAACCCGAGGGTTTTACTGAGAGAAATGATACTTCTTTGTGATGATAGGGGGCCTTCAGAAACTCCAGTTGTTAGATTAATGTGTGAGAAGTTCAACAGAGAATTGTGATATATGAGTACAGAAACAGAAGAGTGAATGCCCAAATTGCAGTGGTATGTACTTGAAAAAAATCTGACTAATTTTTCATTTATATCATTTGCCACTGAGTCTCCATCTCCAAACAACCACAACTAGAAAACAAGCCCCTTATAATTTGAGTCAATATTATCTGTTAGACTAGGTATAAACCAAACACTTCAATTTGAAATCACAATTACTAGTAAAAGTACTAGTAAGAGCAACTGCTAATTGAAAATTACTAAGTAATAGCTAAGAAGCTCTTTAAAAATAAGCTAAGTACCATTGTAAATGAAGAAAGAGTTTGATATGCCATTGATAAGGGCCTGGAATGAATCTGCCCTACATATTTCCTACTTACCCTCCATCTCCCAAGCAAAATCCACCAAACCCTATGCATCCGTTATTCACCTACATTTTCACCTACCTGCATCAAATCCAATTATTTCCCAGTGATCAAACCCTATCACAGACCAGTGTCCTTCAGCAACCCAGCACTCAGCTTGGCCAAGTACACATTGCATGACAGGCACAGAATTCAGCTTGATAAACTGGAGATGTATTGCAAGCACAGGACGAAATTAAAAATGTTCAAGAGCAAGAAAATGCAGTTAGGCAGAGGTGAACATACAGGCAGCACCTGTACATGGGAAGTGTATAAAAAAGGGAACAGAGAGTAAAGAAGTCAATAATATCAGGCTGTTGCCAAGAAGGCATGAGCAAGGGTGATGGTATTAACAGGAACAGAGCTTGCAAGAAACCCAAAATATTCCTTCCACTTAATTGGGATTTGAGCTGTGTTCAGATGGATTACTTATTCCTAGCTTGGTGAGATACTGCAGGAATGGGAGAGACGATCTAGGGAATGCCCAAAGAGAAAATTAATGATCAGAGGGCTGGAAAGCATGATGATCAAGGAAGAACTGAAAGATGTGGCGCTACTTAGCTTAAAGGAGAGAAGGCTGAGAAAAGAGACTTGCTAACAGCTTTCCAACTTATCCTGAGACTTGCAATAGGAATCAGAAAAAGTTAAAATTTGAGCAGACTGATAGATTTACATATCAAATGCTAATATGTCAAACTCAAATCCTAACTTACATTTTTCAGGAGATAAAGTCTGACAGTGCTTTCCAGACAAATATCCCTGCATTAAAAACAGCTTTGAGAAGGTGCTGCTTTCCTGACGTGAACAATAATTTTGCCTGGTACTTTGATTGACGCAAATGCTCAGTCACATTTAAATCAAAATAGGAGGAAGCTACTGTTTTCCATGGCTTCCTGTAGGACATATGCATTGTTATCCCAGAGGAGAGGGCAGGTTATGCAATTGCTGAGCAGCTCTGGGGAAACATTTCCAGCAATTATTTGGAAAGGACTGAGAGAATAAATTTATAAGACATTCTCATCATTTAGTGTTTTCATCACTAAATAACTATTAGATGTTAAATGAATTGAATTTTGGTTATTATTTCACTCTCCTTATGCAACAGAATGGAAGGAGAATGGAAACTAGCCACACTAGTATTAGGATTCTTCCACTGCATATGTGTGCAAGTGCTGGCTAATAAAGAAGTGGAATAGTTTCCTCTGCCTTATCATATTCTAGCCTCACTGGCCATATAGTACAGTCCTAAACTTGATTTAGGAGCCAAAATGGACCAACTGTTTTCCAGATTTAAGAGATGGTAGAAAGACAGCCAATTCCCACTTCATAGCAAAGCTAAATGCTGCTCCAATTCATCTAATGAATAAGTCAGGCAAGTTAACAATGTTGACATCTGAAACGTTTTTTTTTTCTCTTTTCAAGGGAAATGAAATAGAATTATATTACTTTCAAATAAATTTAAATAAATATAGAGTTCTTTGAGCATAAATTATCACATAAATACTTTTCCTCTGGTTACATACTTCCTTATTATTATTTCTAATTATCCTGAGTTAGCAGAATTTCTAATTTATGTGCCTTGAGCATACAGACAACAACCCCACTTTTTTATCTCCTTACATGACAATATTTGCAAAACATCAGATGAAAGATTTCAGCCAAATAATTTTTCCATCCACTAGTCCTGCAATAGCATGGCCTACTGACGGAAAAGCTTCCTGGCTTCAACACTGAGCTGCTCTCAGGCAGCTTCTAAACTTGAACTGGACATTTTTATTTGTGTGACATTACTACAAGCCCTTCTCAGGTTTAGAGCTACTCCACATCAATTCTATCCTCTGAGCTCTGGAAACAAACTGGAAAGCTGGGAAAGAGCTAAGATACACGGAGCTTTTTCAGAGCATTTTGGAAGCCAAAATTATGGAAGACTTTTTCCACTTTGACCATTCATTCTTTGTTATGCTTGGCCTTCATCCCCTCCTGTCACCCTGAAAATGAAAACAACATGTTCATTATTATTCATGGAAATTCATTGGATACGAGGAAGGCATCCCTTTTTCTCCCCCAGCTGTTCAGTTTTTATTTCTTTTGGGAAAGACTATGCTATTCTTTGCTTGGGTAGCAATCCTTTGAGCTTCTGCTTTGCCACTGAGTTCAGCACTGACCACCAGGAAGATGCTCATTTGCATTGGCTTCACTGATTCTTATCTGCAGGCTGAACAGGGGCCCCAGCAGCAGCAGCCACAGTCCCAGTTCCTTGTGGCACCGAGGACAGGGATGCTGGATGCACCTCAGCTGGCCTGGTATTTAACAGTACATGTTTACAGTGCTCTGTGGTGCAACCTCTGTTCCTGACTGGGGCCTACTGGATGTTACCACAGGATAAATGCTTATTTCTATTAGTGCTACTCCTAATTACATGAAATGAGATGCTATCTATTGCAGCTGACATAATTGCATTGACCATTACCTTGTTATTCTCCTATGAGACAGAGAGAAAATACTGTCCTACTTTTTAAATACTAGTAATTAAATTATATATTTGTATTTCTCCTTTTGTAAACAAACTCTTTCTGCTCTTAACAAAGAAGATATTTCCATGTGTTTGGTTCTTCTGCAATTGCTTTTTGAGACTGGATGAGCAGTACCATGATCAATATTTCATATGAGACCATTCAGGGAATGGCATTTCAGTTACTTATAAAATCTGCATTCTATAATTGCATGTTTTACATTGCTATTATACTTAAGCATTTTAACACAGTGTCATTTTCCAAAACTTCTGCCTAGCTTACGAGCTTTAACTGCCATGTTTACTGTAACCTCAGAACTCTTTTTCTGAAATGGTTAATGCAGAAATTTATGATTTACACAACGGATTTATTTTATTCTTTTTCCTAACATACCACTCTTTCCAGGTTTTGGCACTAAACATCTGCTTCATTTATTGCCATGTTGTCTGTTTATGCAGTTTGCTTGGTAATTCTGCATTTCCCTGCTGAAGGCAAAGATTTGTCTTTGCCTTGAAGAGCAGCTTGACTTGTGCTGCACGTAACTGGCTTATGCTTTACCTCCACATTTGCTCTCTGGTCACCATGTACAACATTTCCCCTGAGATCCTCTTTACAGCAGAGTAATGTTCATGTAAAACCTCCCTTTCTGTGTGCCTCATATTACACACAAACTCTGACAGCCAAAAGATACACGTGTCCAAGTCAGTGCTACACAGAGATGTGACACAAAGACATAGAAGATAAAACTTTTCCCTCGAGCTCATGGATAGGCTCTGAATTCCTTTGCTGTGAAGTTCCTGCTGCAGCCCCTTCTCAAGCTGCAGAACCCCACCTCTCTACATACAGGAGACATCTCTGTATCAGAAGTCTACATACACCTGAAAGGGGGTTAAGAGCAGCAGAAAATATTTCATACAATAGCTCTCAATTGACTACAGAGGAGAATAATTTGCAGGACTCTCTAGATTCCCCTCCCCGGACACATTCTGCTATTTGTTATCTTACCTTCAAAGACACTGCACGTGCGGCAGCACAGGAAGCCATAGATATGCATTAGCCTTTGTGAAAGGTGCATTGTGTACGCAGAGGATAGATTGCTATGAACATGTGCACGAGCACGTCATAGAATTGAACTACAATAGATGAAAGTGGTGCTCAGTGTTAACCAAAATTGCAGTCCCAGCTGTATAATTTTGAGAAAGTAGGAGCTGTGCGTTGAGCATCCTCAAAGCTAGGCTGTGCTTATTCAGAGTCTAAAAGGGATCTAACAGCCGCACTGTAGGCATGAACGACTGTAAAACCAGGGGTTTAGTATTAGCATCCAGGCTGAGGTCTGTCAGAGATCACACACTAACACCCGACAGCGGAACCCTCTAAAGCGACACTCGATCTGTCAAAAAGACACTTTTTCGAAGCAGGCGGGGCCGCGGTGGAGGTGGAGCCGGCTCTGCCCGCTGCGGGACCGGCGGCCGGGCCGGAGATGCGCTGGGGTGCGGCGGGCCGGGCTTCCTGCTGCCCGCACACCTGGGAGCGGAGCGGGGGCGGGGAGCTCGGGGTACCGCAGCTGTAAAGTGGGCCGGGCCGGGCCGGGCCGGGCCGGCAGCCGCGGCGGGAGGCGGCAGGGCGGCGGCGGGAGCATGGAGCGCTGCTCTCCCCCCGCGCCGGAGCAGGAAGCGGTGGAAGCGTGGCTGGACGATCACGGCGACTTCACCCGCTCTTACTTTGTTAGAAAAGCTACAAGGTAAGACCGGAGCGGCGGTGGATAGAGGCAGTTCCTTTTTTTACAGGAAAACCTCGCTCTCTTCCATTTCACTTTGCTGCCTCCAAAGAAAATAAAAAGAAGCGACTCCTACCCCACCCCCGCCGCCCCCGCTCTCGAAAGAGCAAGAACTGAAACCACCATGCAGCAGCTCCGTCCGGCTGCCACCGAAGGGCACATGCGGCGCTTCCCGGCCGGCTCTCGCCTTCAGCCCCCGGTTCGCGGCCGCTCTGCGGCGGGGAGCGCCCGCCCGGCACCGCGAGCTGCTCAGGGAAGCTGCCCCAGCCCCAGAGCTCCCCGTTCTGGGCTTTTAGTTATTTATTTTGTGTTCTTCTCGGTTCAAAACAGACATGGTTAACTTCTCATGAGTAGTGAGCAACTAGGCATTTCCCCGCCCTGCGAAGTAGGTAGAAGCCTCAAAGAGCATCTGATGTCTTTGGGGAGGGCGGGTATTGTCAGTGCTCAGTCATCTCAAAACAAAGGGCTGCTCTTCCAGTGCTCCGTCTCCCTGTGAGTTCATCACCTTTTTTGACATAAGGGCGGCCCCCGCAGCGAGGGCCACGGGTTAAGCGCTGCTGAGCCGAGGGCAGATTATTCGAGACCGGAGCTCCGCCCGAGGAGGGGGCTCAGGAGCCCGTCCAGCGGGGAGAGCGCCTCTGGGACGCTGCGCCTTCCCCCGGGAGGGAGGCGGGAGTGCAGCCCGGGCAGGGCGGCGGGCAGGGAGGGGATCGCTGCCCGGATGAGCGGGGTGCAGCCCGGGCAGGGCGGCGGGCAGGCAGAGATCGCTGCCCGGGGAGCGGGCGCGCTGCCGGCAGGGGGCGGCGCGGGGCCGGCGGGCGCCGCCGCTGCTCGGGGGCGGCCGCTCCTCGCTCGCCCCTTCTCGGTGCCGGTTCTTACGAAGAACCCAATATTGAGGACCTGAAGAGCTCGTCTGGGCATTTCCCCCCCTTGACTTGACATGCTGCCTTTTGGAGATAAGACGAGGTATTTGCTCACTGTTGTCACACACTTCAAGAGCGGGACTTCAAGTTGATTAGGAGTAAATTCGGCTATTTTTAGAAGTGGAGTCAGGTTTCCATTTTGAATATTTTCCGATAAACAAAGCCGTGGGGGTGCAGAGCCCGGGCGATCTGCACTCCCACGGTATATCTTAGCGGGAGCTCGGGTTAGTAAGTCCTGCGGTTGGCTCCTCGGACACGGCGTCTCCGCGGGCTCGCTGCGCTCCCGCTCCCGAGCCGCTCACACCATCTGCTCGCCGCTGCTGATTTGCTTCTTCCCCGAGTCACTTGGCGGGGATGGGTGCATTCTGAATGAGGTTTTGCTGCTGCTGCTCCTCTCTGCATGGGATGGGGCGGTAAGAAGAGAAATCCCCATTAATAATTGACTCGCAGAGAGCTAGAAAGCTTCAGGGGTCACCTGCTCGCTTGTGACCATCTGTTAGGCAGTCCCCTTTCTGCTGCTGCTGCTCTCTTAGGTTTATTCAACCGGGGGGGAAAAACCTTTAAAATGTTTTTTAAATGTTGACTTTTTTTTTTTTAAGGCTGTACATTGGTGCAGGATGCATAGATGGAAGTCGTTAACCTTGATGTTTGCTCTCCCGAGCACCAGTGCATGGCGTGGCAATGAAGGGCAGCTTGTTTGCCGAGGAAATAGGGTGCTAGCAGCTTTGAGAAGTAACATTTTCCTAGTTCAGCCTATCACGCTTCCTTTGGAAACTGGATGTAGTATTGAACAAATAGGAATGCTAATTAATAGTAACCACTGTGTCAGATTTGTTTTCCCCACGGGCAGGATGGGTGAGCTTTTTTTTTTTTTTTCCACTGAGGCACAGTTTTGCGTTTGTGCCGTTCTGAGAGAGGCAGTACTTCAGACAAAACAATTCAGTGAGTCTCCGAGATGATAATGCCTCTGCAGTTAGAGAGGGGTTTGCAGAAACACTGTGGACTTTTGAGCCCTCGCTTGGCAACAATTCTGTGATGTTTCTGAAATGACGGAAACATTGCAATTGTCTCAAAACTCTCTTCTCTGCTGTCTTGCATAGAATGTTCTTTGTCCTTATTGTATAAATAGAAAACTATATATAATAAGGAATATCTCTGTTATATGTAAGTTTGTATTTAGAAAGACTAATGACAAATTACTTCACTGTATGTTGATACAAAGATGGTAACATGTAGAGCGGAGTGGTTTGAAAGAACAGCCGTACTTTTTAAAGAGGTTTAGTGTTCCACTTGGTAGTGTTATTTGGGGCTTGAAAAAAGAAAATCCTAGCATCTAATACTGTGCTTTGTTTTAGCTGAATCTTTGCAGCGCAGCAAACACTGAACAAAGACTATGCTGTTAATGTTTTGCTACTTAGCATTATATTTACTCTCTCGAGTAAAGCAGGGTTCCCTGAACTAGTTTCAACACTTTTCTAATCATAATTTACTGCTTCTCTTTTTTTTGTTTTGTTTCATAATATGCCAAAGTTCTCACAGGTCCTGGAAGCAATAGACCAAGAAGTTAGTTAATCTGGTGTTTTGCAGAGCATTGAGGCATATTCAGCTGCATGTTGTGAGGCACAATTGCTAAGGGATAAAGATAGTTTCTGTATCTGTTTCTCAAATATTTCTACATAGGAATAGATCACCTGCTCCATCACTTTTGACTGCATAATACAAGCTGTTTCCACTCACATTAATGAGCTTTGAATTAGAACCTAATTTAGAAACTTTATAATGAGTTTGAATAGTTAATATATTTTTTCTGCAATTAATTAATTCCCACAGTGGTTGATATAGTAGTTCTGTTGGTAATTTCCAGACACAAAGAAGTTTTAATTAAGTGTCTATAAAATACCTAGAAGATGTATGCTTTGTGATTTTTTTTAAGTATGGGGTTAGGGTTATCATCTCATATAATTGAATAGTTGCCTCCTGATCCAGTTTGCATAGGGCAGTTTTATATTAGTATCCATTGTTGTGGTTTGAATAAAAATTGTATATTCTGGCGAGGTGGCACTTTAAAAGATGTCACTTTATGAACATATTGTGAATAGAAAGAAACAACTGTTGGAGTCACTGTGCTCCCCAGCCCATGTGCTGGCTTCTTGGAGAGAAGGGCTGCAGGTTGTCAGCTTAACAAGTGTGCACCTGTGTTTCTCTCTCCCCTCCGATGTGTTGCAGAAGATGAGCACATTCCAAGGGCTCACACCTTGTATTTTGATCTGCAATGCCTCGAGGCTGGCAGTGGCTGCAGGAAGGCCACATCCCGGCCTCCTTCCAGGCTGGGCTCCCTTTATGGATATTGTCCGATAAAACTGCGCTGATTGACTTCCGCGGGAGCAGTGCGAGGCTGCAATCCTACACGCCTGTAATCCAGGTGAATAGCTGGAGTCCTCCCTCCTCTGAGGAGGTGAATGAACTGGGATCCCATGAGTAGGAAGGTATGAAATCAGGTATTTATTACTTTATTTTGTACCAGGCAGGTGAGTGGCATGTGGAGGCAATATAAATAGCTGTTATCTGTGAGGTGCTGTTCCAAGATGATCAAAGTGCAGCACAACAAAGGGGAAGTGTGTCACCGGCACACTCGGGGACGGGATGAATTTGGTTCACTCAGTGAGGCTGTGGTGGCTGACAAAGCTTCTGGCTGCAGAGTTTGGCACTGCACACCTAAGGGTCAAGAGTTTTTAAGTGCCTTGCTCCTATGAAGTTGAAGCTTTTTTTCTTTTTTCCCTAGGTCTTTTTATTTTCCCCTTCCCAAAGTTTTAGAATTGCTTATCGTATTCCAGCTTCCCAGAAGCAGAAACATTTTCAAGTAAGGTGATTCTGCTTTGCTGCTGCAACTATGGTTGTTCTAACTAGATGATATAAAGGCATCATCTGCTGGGGTTTGGGCTAAATTCATTAGCTTTTTTGTCTTTCTGAAGTTTTGTCTTTTTACGTTCCTTTAAAAAAAAAATGCATGCTTTGCCATGCTATAGCATCACACTTACTTCAACCCGCTATGGAATATTTTTGTACTTCTGACTTCCTGTTTGTCCCTGTTTTAAAAATATGGGAGTGATTCTTAGTGCTCTTTGCTCTCAGAAGCAGCAGACTGCCAAAACAGCAAAAGTAATTTTTTTTTTCTCTCAATTGGAGATAACTGTATTCTTACAGGCAGAATTTTACCTGATTCCCTAAATGTATGGTGTGCCGAAGATAAATTATTGAACCAAATCCTACAAGCCCTTCAGTTGAAATAAGATTATTTTGTTATAAATACATCTTGTCTTATTAGCAGGTTTGAGAAATATTTACAAATGAATTAAGGTGAGGTTGTATTTGGAAAAAGAAATGTTCTTAACAGTATGGTACTTCACAGTACTTCCCCGAGGATTCCAAGACTGGTGTTTTCTGGGAAACTGTGCTAAAATTCAGATATCACATTACTTGAATATATCAATTACATTTATTACTTGGAGGAAACTCAAGCACAGTTTTTTGGGACTCTTTTTTTTTTTCTTCTTGATGGCTGGTGGACCATCAATTTCGAGTGTGCTGCCTGCGGTACTGCATTAGTCAGGACATTTGCCTTCTAGTCTCTGTCTAGAGGGCTTTTAAAATGTCTTTCAGTGTGAGCCAGCTATCTGAAGTTCAAGCTCCTAAATATTATGTGTCATATGTGTTCATTGCATTGGTACTGCGTGTTTGCTTATTTTTTCTAATTGAATGAAATTTCTGATTTTCAAAGATAAAGCTATTGGATGTTTTCTGCACTGAAATGTGCTGTAGCCTGTGTTTTTTCTTTAAAAGGTGTTGCATACCAAAAAAAGTAATAGTCCTAAAAATGCACAGGTATGAACTCCTATAAGCACTCCTAACATAAGCTTGGTGAGTAGACAGTGGGCTTTGAAGTTCCATGATTGAAGGACCCCAGTAGCTTTCGTGGAGGCACAGAATCCTGTGCCAGATAGTTGGGATATGCTTCAAGGGGACTGGATTTTCTAAGTTACC